GTACAGCCCTTTTTTGACTTCTACTTTACTCAACTTTACCTCGATCCCGACCAAGGATTGGCCCGGAACGATCGTCCTGAGGCGCCCGTCGAGCCCGATCGATCACTAAGAAAAAAAGAAGAGACACCCAGGAAAGTCTCCGCCTGAACGACCCCTCCCCTCCGCTTGGGTGCCCTCCCACACGCCGACCTGCGAACCCTGACGTGCGGCGGTTGCTCCGGGGTAGGGGAGCTTACGAGTCGTCGCAACAAAACACAAAGTCTATTTTCGCACACTCTCTCCGCCCCCCCCCCCCCCCCCCTTTNCCCCCCCCCCCCCCCCCCCCCCCCCCCCCCTTTGGTTCGGCGGAAAAGTGGATTGTTTATTGGCACTGCAAGTTACGCGTAACTTGCAGAGGAAAGAGGGAAAAGGAGGGAGGTCAGAGCTCAACGGCTGCTGTTGGAGCGTCATCTGATATAGACGCGGGGTGTTCGCTCGAACACATTCCCCTCTTGATCTTTCCGATCGTTTCTGTTTGTGTGTATGAGAGGCAGCATACGCAGGTCTGTTCTCACGTTTAGAAAGTCAGTCTCCCCCGTCATCTTTACTTTCTTTTACACGTTGGGATCTGAGAGCTTTTTCTTCTCTGTTGCACCCGCCGGAGAGTCTCTCTTTTCCTCATCACGAGCTTCGGGGGGCGAGGAACATAAGCGAGACAAAGCGAGTGTGTGAGAAGGAAACGGAGAAAGAGAGAGACACAGCAAGGAAGGAGGGGAAAAGAGACGACGTCCGATCATGGGACCGACTAACACCGACGCGATGATAGTGAACCAATCTGGATGGGCGCATCTCCGCTCGGCTGGCGCCTCGCGCCGGTCGAGAATCATCATCGCCGCCCTGATCATGTTTCTTGTGTCGGCGGCGCTGGTACTACAACCCGACTGGCACGTCGCCACATCCGGGCTGCGCGTGCCCGGCTTACATCGCCCTGCGGCGTCAGGGTCTAATACTACGCCCATACCAAACGGAGGAGGAGGGGGGCCTTCATCAGAGACGACGAGCGACACGGATTCCGGGGTTCTGGCTTCGATACTCACGCCGGACGAGGACGGCGTGCTCCTCTCGGCCGGCAGCCCCGTCTTCACCTCGCCCAACGGGCGGTACTCGCTCGTCCTGCAGCCCGACGGGGATCTTGTTCTGTCGCACAACGACCTCGACGGCTCGGCGCACGCGCTGTGGTGGACCGACACGGGCGACAAGCACTCCGGGGGACGGACCGTTACCGTGGAGAAGAAGGGCGGGCATGTGCGGATGGTGGTGAATGCGATGCTGAAGAACACGTGGGTGACGGTCTGGCACAGCGATCTTCTCACCATGTGCAAGAACCAAGCAACGGCAGAAGGAGGTGCTCTTGCCAAGAAGACCGGCGCCCGCGGCCACCTGGAGCTCTCCAATGACGGGAAACTCACCCTCTCTGGCGCGTGCGACCTGCGCATCCCGCCGGACCATCGCGAGAAGAGCCGCAGCCTGGCCGTCATCGTCGCGGGGCTGTACCGCACCAACCACGTCACCTGCAAGACGCACATGGAGCACCTTGTCGACGGGCACCCGTCCTTTACCAAGATTGACGTCTTCGCGTACATGCTGTACGAGCCCGCGGACGCGGATGTGCATGGACGCACGAAGGAGAGCATCGAGGCGGAGCTGCGGGCGTGTTACGGCACGCATCTGAGGTCGTTGGACGTGGTGCCCGTCGCCGAGGCGGAGGTGGAGTATCCCGGCGGCGAGGCGGCGATGCTGCTCCCGTGCGGGGATAGGTTGAGGCGGCTGAACAACCAGCTGAGGACGGTGTCGTTGGCGGCGCAGCGGTGGTGGGCGTGGACTGTGGCGAACGGGTTTACGCACGATACAGTGATGAGGATCCGGCCAGATACGTCGTTCTGGGCGCGGCCTGGCTTTAAGAGTCTGGAGGAGCTAGGTGACACGTTGGTGTTGCCGCATCCGAAGGGGGAGCATTACTTTTATTGCGCGAGGATGAAGGGCAGCGTGGGTGTTGGTAAGCCATCTCTCTCTTCTGAGGTTTCTCTTCTGTGACGTGAGACTGACACGTGCGAAATAGGCCCGACTGACCAGATCGCGTACGGCAACGCGGCGTCGATGCAGCAGTGGCTGTACATGTACGACCGGTTCGCGCAGATGGTCGATCTGGCGTCGAACCCGGACAGGCCGGCGCTGCGAGACTTCTCCGGGTGCGAGGACATGCCGTCGGGCCCGCTGGCGAGCGACTGTCCGCGGCCGGCGCCGTGCTCGATCGAATGCCTGGTCGCGTGGTACCTTGACGCGCGCGGGGTGGACTTCCGGATCGAGTGGGGGTGGGAGCAGAACCCGCTGCGGTGGAAGGATATCGGGATGCTGGGCGCGGAGGAGGAGAGGATGGCGGATCAGCATCAGGAGGATAAGGATGAAGGCATGACGTGGGGGTGAAGAGTAGTTGAGGACTGGATGGGGTTTCCTTTTGTTTCTTGTTTTGATCTCTTGGGTATAGCGTGGTGTTGGGGTTGGGATTGGATTGCTTCGCCATGTGACTATGGGCGTTTGGCTGGCGGCACGGGTGGATGGAATTGTGAATGGTGAAATGGTGTAGAGTAGCTCACACTTTTGAGAAGGATAACATGATTCAGAAGCCAAGAACTGATGGCTTGATATATTCATGAACACCATGTGCACATTGACGCGAAGTGATGTATGTTCCAGACTTGTGGTAGAAATCAGGCCACTGGGCTGAAGAAGGGCTCATCGGACGCGGGGACGCTGATTACCGCTGGCAGCAGGTAATGTCGGCTTTGGCTTGAGGCGCGGAGACATGGTGAGTGCTTCATTTCCACTGCCACATACCGTGAGATGTGGTTGACGATGGCGGGTGAGGTTGGATGAGGTGAGAATGGAACGGTATGCTCACCTAAGGCAGTCAGGGGTTCGCGGGAGGGGATGCGCGCGGGGTTCAGGAGTGGGTCTGTTGGCTGAACTCTTGCCCTTTTGGGACGGGCTCCGGATGAGAGGTGAGTTACGACCGGTTGGAGAGATGTTCATTTGCACAGTTATTTACATTTTATGAAGAAGCAATGTGAGTGCGCAAGTGTAAAGGCGCATGCAAATAGTGTGTGCGGCATAGCACTATGGTTCTTCTCCAACTGAAGACGACGCAACCATGAGAGACGAATGTCAACGAGTGTGAAGCGGACTTCGATAGTGACTGTTTGGTTTGCACGACTAAGAGGATGAAGATCATGAGGCCCAGAACCACAGCATCCACGTGGAATCCGGCGTGGGTGCGCGGGAAAAAAGGGCTTGGACTGGGGCATCTCCAGTCTACTTGGTACGGGAATAGAGCATCAGACCGGGCAACGATGGACGCTGTCAATTAGTTCCTCTCTGCCCCTGATTCGGCAGCGCCTCTTTTCCTCAGAAGTAGCCGACGTGTGAAGGACGACACGTCCCGATGTGCCTCGCTCGCGGAGCTGAATGAGAAACAGGGAAAGCCGGCTCACGACGCAAATAGCAGTGTTTGGACCGGGGTCTTGGCGTTTAAGGTGATGGAAAGATTTAGCATGATGGCGTAATTAGTTCTGAGAGGATGGTGAACGTGCGAGGGGGAACAGATGTGAGATGGGCTGTGAGGAGGTACAGCGAGCTTTCCCGACGAGACGGGTCGTGTACCGCCGGCCTACCGCCACCTCATTTCCTCTTTTCCACCGTTCACACGGAAAGGCGTCTAAGACCACGGCAAGACGATTTGTGTCTTCTAATGGCTCATGACGGCGAGGTGCGGACGAAAGGCCCTGTTCTTTTCCGGTCTCTCAGGCCATGTGTCCAGCTCGGGCTCAGCCAGCCGGCATGGGAGCCATCGACAGATGTAGGTTCGATAATGCTGATCACTTCTAGACTCTCTCGCGTCTTCTTCGATGGGGCCAACCAGTGCTTAACTCTCACGATTCTTCTTCTTCTTGACTTCGAAGACGTTACTTTGAGAGCAGCACCCAATATTATCTGTGTCAGTGAACCACCATGATGGCCAGCTTCAACATACGACTACAACGGCAGAGAGGGTTGCCTTGCAAACGTCCCCCTCACCCGATCTCTCCACTTACCGGGCTGAAGAAACAAGAAACACCAAAAGAGTCCGGAACGGCGGCTTGGGGGTCGTCAATGGTTGCCCAGGGGCCCGACGCCGTGGTTGCGTTGGCGCCGGTGACAGGTAGCTTCCAAGGTTAGGTTGTCCATTCAGGGGACGCGGCCAGTGGGAGGCCCAGGATGACCCCTATTTCGCCAGCCCGTCGCACCGGTTGAGCTGCGCTAGGCCTGTTCCTGTTCCCGCTAGCAGCCCGCTCAGTGGTCCGCCGCCTGGTCCACCGCGCCACTAGAGGCGGCGCTTGCCTTTTTGAGTCTCACAGTCTTCCACCGTCAACTGCCATCGTCACTTCAGGTCGTCTTCTCAACTTCTCTAGACTGCGCTCACCACCACGCCGTCGTCTTCACACCCACTCACTAACACGCATCGTCACCGCGCCGCGGGTCGACGTCCATGGCTTCCACAACTTTCCGCTGCTGTTCACCCTCCCCAACTGTGGTAGTCCACATGGGGAGATTATCTCCTGCGCCTCTGGCCACGCTGCCCGCACACGATCCGGTGCCGTTGGGCAATATTCTTCCACCCGTCTCCTGATGGAGTTAGGGACTCTATCGTCATGTCGCCGGCAACGGCAGCCAGTCTAGAATATGAAGGAGACGTCGTCCTCTGCTTCTCGCGTTTCGTCCCTTGCTTCTTCAACCCCATCTCTGTCCTGTCAAGAAAGCCAGAGACGTCGGCGTGCGATCCAGCCGTGCAGACATTTTCGTTTGCGTCCTTTCGTTGATCTTAGATCATCACCACACTCTTTCCTTGGCCTCGGCCGCCTTGCTATCGCTATCCATACATGAGGATACACACTCTTTAATAATCTAATATTACCAATCACTCAACGATGCACTTCAAGGCCTCTTTCTTGGCTGCCGCCGCCGCCGCCGGCCCGGCCATCGCCCACAGCAGCTCAGTCCAGACCACCACCTCTGCTTCGGCTTACTTGGGAGGACTGAACCTCTACTGGGGACAGTACGGCCTTCCCGATGACAGGCTTGCGAACTACTGCGATGCCCCCGGCGTCACCTCTGTTTCTCTCTCCTTCGTCACTTACAGCCCGAAATGGGGTAACGGATACCCGGGAACCAACTTCGCCGGCCACTGCGGCGGCGAGGTGTTCTTCAAGAACCCCTTGACCGGCCTGACCACCAAGCTCATCACCAACTGCGACTACATCAAGACGGACATCAAGTACTGCCAGAACAAGGGAATCAAGGTGCTTCTGAGTGTCGGCGGCCAGTGCGACACGTCCCTGACCGGCGGAAACGGATGCCCCTACGACGTCGATAGCGAAGCCGCTGGCCATGAGTTTGGAGAGCTCCTGCACAAGACTTTCGGTCCCTACGACCCAACCTGGGCTGGTCCTCGTCCGTTTGATATCAGCTTGACGGAGCACGTCTCCGTCGACGGTTTCGACATCGACTTTGAGTTCAAGTACGGTATGTCATGGCCTTGCCCCATCTTACCCCTGAATTGTGAATGCTGACGACGCTCCAGCCGACCAAAAGCCCTACATCGCGCTGGTTGAGAAGCTCCGCAGCTGCGGCAACTACTACATCTCTGCCGCTCCCCAGTGCCCTACCGGCGACCAGTGGTTCCAGCTGAAGGAGCTCATCTACACCGTCAAGTTCGATGCCCTCTTCATCCAGTTCTTCAACAATCCCGGCTGCCAGATCTCCGACACCCCCAACTACGATGACTGGGAGACCGTCATCTCTCAGACTTCGCAGAGCAAGGATGCCAAGCTGTACCTCGGTGTTCTCGCCAGCCCTGCCGCTGGCTGGGCTGGTTACGTCGCCCCCTCCGTCGTCAAGGACTTGATCTGCAAGGTCAAGGCCAAGGCGCACTTTGGCGGTGTCTCTGTCTGGGACGCCACCCGCGGCGGCATGAACCTCGTCGGCGGCGAGGCTTTCCACGTTGCTATCGCTGCTGCCCTGAAGTACGGCTGCGACGAAATTCCTTCCAACAGCGCGTCCATCTCGGCCTCCGCCTCGGCTTCTGTCGCCAACAGCGCGAGCGTCTCGGCTTCTGCTTCGGCGGCCAGCGTTAGTGCCAGTGCATCTGCCTCGGATTCCGGCCCCATGGTTAACTCGGCTACCGTCTCCGTCTCCGGATCCGCCAGCGGCGCCGCTTCTGCTTCTGCTTCTGCCTCTGCTGCCAACAGTGTCTCCGCTGCGGCCAGTGCGAGCGCGAGCGACAACGTGTCCGCCTCGGCATCCGGCTCAGCTGCCAGTGCTTCTGCTTCTGGCTCCGGCTCCGGCTCTGGTTCCATCTCTGACGCCGGCTCCAACTCGTTCACCATCTCTGTTTCTGGGTCCGCGAGCGCCGCTGCATCCGCCTCGGCGTCTGGATCAGCTCCCAGTGCTTCCGCTTCTGACTCTGGCTCTGCCTCCGTCTCCGACGCTGGCTCCAACTCGGCCACAATCTCTGCTTCTGCGTCTGCATCAGCTTCTGCTTCGGCCACTGGTGCGTCAGTCTCGGGCTCCGTCTCTGATGCCGGCTCTATCGTTAACTCTGCCACTGTCTCCATCCATGGATCTGCAAGTGATGCCGCGTCCGCTTCAGCATCCGTCTCTGGATCCGCCAGCGGCGCTGCTTCAGCCTCAGCTTCCGCTTCTGCTGCGGCCAGCGCCAGTGCCAGCGCCTCTGCTTCGGCGACTGACGTCTGCGAGGAGGACAACGATGGTTTCTCCTCCGGCACGGCGAGCAAGACCGGTAGTGCTTCTGCGGCTGCCACTGCCGGCGTTTCCGCGGGAGCTTCTGGTGGAATCTCTGCTGTAGCTTCCGGCAGTGTTTCTGCTGCTGCGACTGGAGGTAGCAATGTCTCCGCGAGCGGTTCCAACGCTGGAGCGACTGCCACCGCGGTTGCCACTGGCACTGACGGCCTCCCTCTGCCCACGCCTGTTGATACCAACAACGCGTCTGGAAGCAACTCGGCCTCGGGAACTGCGAAGGCCGTCCCCACCGGCTCTGGCGCTAGCGGAAGTGCTTCTGGTGCTGGCTCTGCCACTGCAACTGTGGTTGCCACCGGCACCGATGACCTTCCTTTGCCTACCCCGGTTGATACCAACGGCGCATCCGGTAGCGACTCTGCTACCGGAACTGCCAAGGCTGTTGTCACGGGCTCTGGCTCGCTCAGCGTCACTGGTTTCGTTTCTGACAAGGCTACTGGAACTGGTTCAACCGCTGTCCCTGCGCAGAACACCTTCACCCTCTCGCCGGCCATGACCACCAGCACCGTGTTCACCACCTCGGTCTACACCGTCACCTCGTGTGCCTCTTCCATCACCAACTGCCCTGTTGGCCAGGTGACCACTGCCACCATCGCCTTGTACACGACCGTCTGCCCCGTCAGCGCCGTTTCCACTGCCGCTGCCACGCCTTCCACCACTCAGTTCACTACCAGCACCGTTTACAAGACCAACGTCTACACGGTCACCTCGTGTGCCTCCACCGTCACCAACTGCCCCGTCGGCCAAGTCACCACCAAGGTCGTCCCGTGGTACACCACCATCTGCCCCGTCACTGCCGCGACCCCCACGACGAAGGCGTCTACCAAGGGCAATGACAAGGCATCCACCAAGACCGGAAAGGAGTCTCACAAGCACTCCAAGACGGGTAGCGCCTCCAAGACGCCCAAGGCCACGGACAACGGCAGCAGCCCCAAGACGACTCCTGGCCAGGGAGGCAACAAGGACGTTCCCAAGACCACTGGGGGTGACCAGGGCGGCAACAACCAGCCCTCGGTCAGCGTCCCTGCTTCTCCCAAGACCACGAGCCCCGGTGGCGGCAGCAGTGACAAGTGTACTGGCGCCAACTGCTCCAGCAACAATGGCGGTAACAACGGTGGAAACAATGGTGGAAACAACGGCAGCAAGGACTCAACCACGACGCTCAAGACGACGCTGACCGTCCCCATCACGGCGGTCGGCAAGTCCAACTCCACTATTCCGGCGACGGGCACCGGGTCCCCCAACAAGCCCACTTCCGGCATCACCACGGCCACTCCCATCACGACCAAGCCGGTCCAAGCTGGCGCAGGCAAGGTCGGCGTCGTTGGCTTCGCGGGACTTGCCGCGGTGGCCGCCGCATTTCTTTTGTAAGGTGTGAGTACGGTCTCAGTATTTTACATGCACGGGTTCGACGACGTTTGGACGGGATCAGTTCTATGGCTTATATAATATTCTTCATGTATTGACATTGGATACATAAAAGGATGGGCTTTCGGTCGCGGAGTCGGGCCCGGATAAGGGCATTGGGGCTCTTGGGGTGTCTGAGCTCGTACATAGGAATATTCAATATATGGCTCGTACGCACAGCGCCCGTCTGTTCATCCCAGGCATGTACGTCTGATATATCGAGTAATGGTGCGTGGTCAATTCGTGACATGGCGTCGACCTTGATGCATTTTGGGCTATGATGTTCGTGCTGATAGAAGCTTCTGGCGTTTCTTATCGGGGCGGTCGTTGGCTGATAGGTAGTATCTCATCATTGCCTTACGGCGCAATTACTCGGGGTACCCAAGTCTGGCAACCTAGGCATGGCCAGGGCCAGTGCCGGTGACGTTGACATGTTCGCCGGGTAACAGCCCACGGCAGCGTACCATTGCCTGGTGCGACCTTAGTCAGGGCGATCAATGTCCGTTGCAGGTTGCTACTTTGTTAGTATTCCCAAATCGGGGGGAGCATGACAATTGCATGGTGTGGCTCAAACCAACGCCACAGGCACAAGTTGGGATTCCTGCCGTGTCACTGAGGTATGGTGTGCTTCGACGGTGCTGTCTCTGTGCCCTGCCAGTGCCTGCGTTTCGTTGCCTGCTTGCAGCAGCGTGAGGAAGCTGCTGCACGGGACGGGCAATGGCCAGTGGGAAGAGGAGGGGAGAAGGGAGGGTCGCCTAAGCTCCGTGTCCTTGTTCACAGCTAACCTCAGGAAAAGGAAGACCATGATTGGCGGAGGGATGACCCCACCTGGACGTCATTTCTGGATTGCTGCAAGGAAGGAGGGAGGGAGGAGGGGCGCGCGCTGAAGGCTAAAGAACATAGGCGCTGTTCCAAGCGTCCGTCGAAGCCAGATTCGAACGGGGCTATGTAAAATAGCGTACAGATATCCGCTCTCTAGTGTGTGCTGTTCCCGCCCATCATTGCCAGCTTTTGATGCAGCAAGGCGAACAACTACCTACCTTGGGTGTAGTAGGTAAATGTACCTTACCTTACACATGAGGTGTCTGATGGAAGCGACTGTGATGACTGAGTGAGCCTATTTCGGTCTCGCTCTCGTGCGACGTGCAAAACTTGGCAGCTGCAACAACAGTTATTCCTCCTTCTCGTCCTCATCCTCGATTGTGACCTGACTGACCTTTCTTCTTCCCGTCTGGGCTTCATTCAATTTCTCTGGGTACATACATTGCTGCGTTTCCTGTAGCCGTTCCAGCCCAGCTCAGCTACTCTCCTTTTTATTACACGTATTCCAGTCTCCTCCTCCCCCACCCCCTGAGGTCTTGTCGCCGACCGAAGCACGTCCGTCTCACAATTGTGCTTTCCCCCCCGCCGCCGCATACCCAAATCACATCTCCCCCATCTTCATCCGTTCCCCTGACCTATCAGCACGCCCAAGAACCCAGCAATTGCCCCGAGCATAAACTGCCATTCCCTGTTCGCCTGCTGCTCCATCCACTGTCATTGCATACTTACATATAAACTCATACTATCTTACGAGCAAAGGTGGGGAATCAACCATTGGGGCCCGCTGCTGCTGCTGTCTGTCAGTGTCGCTGCTGTCCTGTGAAGCTTGGCTTCTCCAGTCTGCCACTCCACGTCCAGCCAGCCGCTGCCGCTGCCATTCTCCAAAATGTCGGAAGCTGGTGATAGGTGAGTTAGGTTCCAACAGCCAGAACACCACCCTCTTCCCTCTCCCTGAACCCTACATCAGCTGGCATGCGTTCGACGGTCCTCTGGCTCGCGCCGTGAGACACCTGCAGCATTCCCTACGCCGCATACACTCACTACCTACCCTCCACGCGTCCTACGGTCCGCAGTGCCGCAGCAACACCCTTGGCGGATGCAGAGAGCTGGCTGACACTCGACTGACTTCCCCAGCACCCACAAGCGCTCAAAGTCGGCTGCCGCCCTCTCCCTCCTCCGAAGAAACCACTCCCGCGGCGACGAAGATCCCTCCAACTCGGACGAAGGTGCGCCGCTGACGTCGCCCACCTCAGCAGCGACATCCCAGACAAACATATCCATGGCTCAAAACGCCCCCCGCGGCGTCTCCGCCTCCCGTCTTTCCACAACATCCCCCTCAATGGGAAGAGTCCCCTCCCACAACAGCCCACCCGCAGGTTTGACTTCCAAGATGAGCAGCGTCGGCGGTAGCGAGAAGGGCGTCTCCCTCGAGCAGTCCGTTCGCAAGTTCCGCATCGTCGAGGCCCTGCGGAGCGGCGACACGGCCTCCATCTCCAAGGCCATACGGGACACCGCCGAGGGCGGCCCAAGAACGAGCATCTCCTCCATCAGCACTCTCAGCGGCCCCGGCCTCGATGACACCACCGTCCTGCACCTTGCGATCCAATGCGCCGAGTTCCAGGTCGTCGAGTACGTCCTGTCCGACGGTGCGGGCATCCTCGACGTCAACGCGAGGGACAAGGACGGCAATACCCCGCTGCATGTTGCCGCTATCCAGGGCCGCACCCAGGTCGTCAAGCTGCTGCTCGAGCAGAAGGACATCAACGACGCCGTCGCCAACTACAAGGCCCAGCTGCCCATCGACGTCGCTCGCAACCCAGATATCTTCCAGCAGCTGCAGCTCTCGCGGTCGCTGTTCGCCGAGAACAAGGTCAGGCAGATCCAGAGTCTGATTGCCCAGAACGACTACAAGGCATTGGAGAGCGTCCTCGAAGAGCCCCGCCTCAAGCAGATTCTCGACATCAACAGCACCGAATTCGCGACCGAACCCACAACTGTCCAGGCTGGCGGCACCCTCCTCCACGAAGCTGCGCGGAAGAAGAATACTCAGTTGATCCAGGTACTTCTCCTCCACGGCGCGGACCCCTTCCGCAGAGATCGCAAGGGCAAGCTGCCGCAGGATGTTACGAAGGACGATGTCACGAGAGCAATGCTTAAGCGATCCCCTGCCGCTGTCGCAGCCCAGAGGGGTATCCAGGAGAAGGCCGTTCTCGGCCAGGCAGCGTCGCAGGGCGCCGGGACTGCCGCCCCTGGAGACCCGGTGGCAGGCCGCGAGGCTCGCGAGATGAAGGGCTACCTGAAGAAGTGGACCAACTACCGCAAGGGATACCAGCTTCGATGGTTCGTCCTCGAAGACGGTGTACTTAGTTACTACAAGCACCAGGACGATGCTGGCTCCGCTTGCCGTGGTGCGATCAACACCCGTATTGCCAAGCTACACATGAGCGCCGACGAGAAGACCAAGTTCGAGATTATCGGAAAGTCGTCGGTCAAGTACACTCTGAAGGCCAACCACGAGGTTGAGGCTAAGCGTTGGTTCTGGGCTCTGAACAACTCGATTCAATGGACCAAGGATCAGGCCAAGGAGGAGGAACGGCAGCGCGCCCGTGGTGCCGAGCTCCTGAGGCAAGCAAAGGCTGAACAGGCCGGCAAGTCATCCGATCTGTCCATCAACGAGGCGCCGAGTGAAAGCGCCAGCGTTGCCGACACCAGAAGAAGCAGTGTGCAAATCCCGAGATCCCAGTCGCACACCAAGATGTCAGTACCAAAGAGCGACTTTGCAGGCGCCAGCACCATTGCCGACGACGAAGAATTCGCCGACGCCGCCACGGATGCGGGAATGTCACGGGCTGCTGGCAACGGCCACCATAACCCAGACGACGACGATGACGATGATGAGTTTGAGGACGTCAGTAGCCGCGAGGAGCCCACAGTCAGCAAGGACGCTTTCAACATCACGGCCCAGTCCGCCAAGCTCCAGCTCGACACAATCTCAGCGGTCAACGCTGCCATGCTCGCAGAAGCCTCCAAGAACCCTAACACCACGGTGTCCGATGCCAAGGTAGCCCAGGCGCTGTCAACATACGACGCTGCAGTCAGGAGCCTGACGGGGCTTGTCGGAGACCTTATGCGCATTTCAAAGGACCGCGACGCATACTGGCAATACCGCTTGGAGCGCGAAACCGACATGCGCCGCATGTGGGAGGAGAGCATGGCCAAGGTCGCCAAGGAGCAGGAGATCCTGGAGGAACGTGTTGACCAAGCCGAGCAGAGGCGCAAGGCCGCCAAGCGGGCCCTTCGCGAGGTTATGAATGATTCGCCCGCTGGTGCCAACCAGAAGGAGCCTGTGGATGGCACGACGACTGTTGAGGCAGCAGTTGGAACTGACGATGACCTCGCGGTCGCGCCCAAGTCACCCGAGAGGAATCTTAATAGAAAGAAGTCGGCAATCATACTCTCTGACTCGGAGTCGGAAGACGAGGACGAGTTCTTTGATGCCGTCGATGCTGGAGAGGTTGAAGTCAGCGAGCTGCCGCCATCCGAGGCCGTGACGTCTCCTCAGGAGGAAAAGCAGCAACAGCTTGTCGTCTCTAGCGGCGTGGACATTAGCAGCTCATTCAAGGGCTACGAGAACGGCATCAGAACCAAACTCAAGATGGACGCCGATAACCGGCCCAAGATTTCGCTTTGGGTGAGTAGAGCTGACGGTGGTACAGTGACGTGAGCTAACAAAACCCAGGGTATTCTCAAGTCAATGATTGGAAAGGACATGACCAAGATGACTCTGCCGGTATCTTTCAACGAGCCAACTTCGCTCTTGTACCGTGCCGGTGAGGATATGGAGTATGTTGACCTGCTGGACCAAGCCGCAGAGCGTTCAGACTCGATTGAGCGCCTGCTTTACGTGGCAGCGTTCGCCGCCAGTGAGTACGCATCCACAATTGGGCGTGTCGCGAAGCCTTTCAACCCCCTCCTGGGAGAGACGTTCGAGTACGTCCGCCCTGACAAGAACTACCGCTTCTTTATCGAACAAGTTAGCCATCACCCGCCTGTTGGTGCCGCGTGGGCCGAGTCTCCCAAGTGGACCTACTATGGAGAGTCAGCCGTCAAGACCAAGTTTTACGGAAAGTCCTTCGACGCCAACCCTCTGGGAACGTGGTTCCTCAAGCTACGTCCTACAGCTGGAGGCAAGGAAGACCTCTACACCTGGAAGAAGGTCACGTCGTCCGTCATTGGCATCATCACCGGTAACCCGACTTTGGACAACTATGGCCCCATGGAAGTGAAGAACCACACGACGGGTGAGGTGTGTCAGATGGAGTTTGTACCACGCGGCTGGAAGGCTTCCAGCGCGTACAAGGTCACCGGCAAGGTGCTTGACGCCGATGGAAGGGTGCGATACAGCATTGGAGGCAGATGGAACTCCAAGCTGTACGCTCGCTTTTCGCCGGGATACGAGGCCAACGTTGATGATCCTGGCGATGCCGCCTCTATTGGCAAGGGCAGCCTGAATGACCCCAACAAGGCGTTCCTCATTTGGCAGGCCAACCCCCGCCCGCCCAACATCCCGTTCAACCTGACTCCCTTTGTTCTTACGTTCAACCACGTCGACGACAAGCTCCGGCCATGGATCGCACCTACCGACTCGCGTCTACGTCCAGACCAGCGCGCCATGGAGGATGGCGAATACGACTATGCGGCGGAGGAGAAGGACCGCCTCGAGGTGGCACAACGTGCGCGCAGGAAACACCGCGAGGAGAATGGCATCGAGTTCCACCCTGCGTGGTTCGAAAAGACAACGTGCGAGATCACCGGCGAGGAGTATTGGAAGTTCAACGGCAAGTACTGGGAGCAGAGAGAGAAGGCAGGACCAGAGGGAGACCCGAAGGCTGCCTGGGACGGATTGGAACCAATCTACGAAGATGTGCAGTAGAGTGGCAATACGGAGAGTGTTCCAAAGAGTGTTCCGAGGGGTGTTCCAAAGAAGAAGGGCAAAAGTCAGCCAGCACCGCCGTCGCAGACGTTGCAGCCGTATGGCATCCGGTATCCTGCCGCTGTGGGATGGTGAACCACCAAGCTTGGGAATGGTTGTTCAATTAGTGTATTGTGGATAGTATTACAGGTATTGAAATAAGCAATCGCTCGCATTCGGCAACAATTCTGGAAGACGCGCATTCGCAAAGTTTGCTATTCTATGATGGGTGTTCGGACGGACATATGAATGGGCGGTTTTGTGCTGCCGTCTCATCTACTCCCGAGTGCGAACGAAGAAGACGATGGAACCGCCTTCTACCTGCAGAAGATTTCTGCCCACCTGCCAAGAAGCTTGTGATACCGTCGGGACTCGGGGCGGTGACGGGGCATGCAGCACAGCAGGCTGAGATCGACGAGATTAAATGATTACCTTTCCACACACCGAATCCCGGACCGGGGGTGGTGCACGTCGCCGGTAAGTACGTACCGAAGCCACGGCTCGCGGGTACCTTGCGGTCGGTCGTCCACGTCTCCTAGAGGCAGTGACAACCTTGTTTTATTTCCCCACCTTGGACCTCGGCAGTTTCTTCGTCCCTGCTATTGATGCTACATAATTAGGGGGGAAGAACCGCCTTGCTGCATCTCTTTTAACCCACCCCTGCGGCTTGTCAACCAGATTCGCGGGTCTCACCTATCAATTGTCGCGTCTCATTCATCCTTTTTCAGTCTCATTCAGTTCTCACAGGCGAGCTTTTCTTGGTTTCTGAGGGGGCGTTTCAAGTCGACACGAATCGCCACGTCGAGGTTCGGCTTTAGACTCGGGATCTAGACGGCAGACGGCGCGGTAGCAAACGATACAAATCCAGACTTAGACGGAACGCAAGATGGCAACCGGGCGTTCGACGATTGTGAGGCCTCCGCCCGAGGACCCGAACAAGAGCCCGATCGAGAACGTGCTGGAGGTGACGGAGCTGGGCGTCCTGGGGCCGGTGAGTTCGCACGCCTCCCGCCTCGGACATTGCGGACCGGACAACTGACGCCGACACAGGACATCTTCACCAACACGCGCCAGCCATGGCACCCGCCCGGCGCGCGCGGCATCTTCGGCGGCGCCGTGATCGCGCAGTGCCTCGCCTCGGCGCAGAAGACGGTGCCCAACGACTTCTTCGTGCACTCGTGCCACTGCTACTTCCTGCTGGCCGGCTCCTCGGAGATCCCGATTCTCTTTCATGTCGAGCGCGTGCGCGACGGGCGCAGCTTTGCGACGCGGACGGTGCAGGCGCGGCAGCGGGGCCGGTGCATCTTCACGACGACGGTGTCGTTTGTCAAGGAGGGCGCGGGCGGGGAGACGCAGGTGCGGCACGCGGCGCCGCTTCCGCAAGGTGTGCGGGCGCCGCCGGCGGATTGGAGGGGCGAGCCGGAGTGGAGCACGCACTCGCCGTTCCAGACGTACCGGATCTCGATGGTCGGGCCGGATGGGAAGCCTGCGAAGACGACGCTGACGAAGGGGGAGAAGGGGGAGGAGCCGGCGCCGCATGAGATGAAGAGCCGGAACTGGGTGCGGGCACGGGGGAAGATCAGTGTTAGTGGAGGCCACCAGGCGCATCTGAACGCGCTGGCGTACATGTCGGACAGCTACTTCATCGGGACGGTAGGGCGGATACATCGGTTGTGGCGGTTCCCGTTCAAGCCGGAGGAGTTTGAGGAGCTGCCGCCGGAGCTGAGGGAGCAGGTGGAGCGGTTGAATGAGTTTGAGGGGAATACGGAGGGCGGGGTGGAGTACTGGAAGACGAGGCCGCATCTGGGCATGATGGTGAGCTTGGATCATAGTATCTACTTCCATGAGCCGAGGAGGGTGAGGGCGGATGAGTGGATGTTTACGGAGATGGAGAGCCCGTGGGCTGGGGATGGGAGGGGGGTTGTGTTGCAGAAGATTTTTGGGGGGGATGGGACGCTCTTGGCTACTTGTGTGCAGGAGGTGAGTATTTCCGTGGTGATGTGTGAGATGTGAGAGATTGCTGACTTTGTGTAGGGCGTCGTGAGGTTGAAGCAAGAGGAGGATGTGGAGAAGGACGAGCCGAAGGCCAAGTTGTGAGGTGGTCATTCGAGGGGCCGTTCAAGCGGTGGTGTACGATGATGGGTGTGTTCTCTTTGTGTGATAGAGTGAGAGTTAATGGACGCTGTAAGAGAGTGACCCAAGACGTGGGTGAGAATCATGTTCGTCACGGAACTTTGGCTTCTCATAGAACTTATATATTTTAAATTGATGGACTTTTTGCGGATTGTTTCGGTCCATACAATGACAAAGCACGAGGGTATTGGTTGATGATCGTAAGGTGCTGCCGGTATCGTGTAACTGCACCCTGGATGGAGCAGGATTGCGTTGGCCTTCGTGCAGAGGCTCGCCGAGCCTGCATCTATCTTCGCTTAGGCTCGGGTATTCGCCTCTGTTTACTCAGGCGCCGACAGATGCGAGGGGTGGTTGCGTATGAGGCCCTGTATATGACGGCCTCAGCATGCGAGGTGCTATTCTAACCTGGGAGATGTGGTATTAAGGCCAAGACCAAACTTGCTGATCATCTATAGAGCCTCATTTCCCCACACATTATTAGTCCTTGCGCAGAGAGCCACTTGAGATCCGAGCAGTTGAAATATATACGAGATTTGTGCTGGGTAGCTTGTATGCCGGCGGGATGGGCCGTCGCTGCTAATGCTAATTAAAGACTCGGAGACTATGATTTGCACATATTTAAGAAGGCTTCGAAACCGTTTCCTTGAGACGTTTGCAAGCAATTTCGCATATACTCCCTTTCGTGTAGTCACCCTGAGGCTCACAGCTTCTGACGTTGTGGAGGTGAAGACCCTTAAAGAGTCAATGGGTGGCACTTGACTTGCTGATTGTGATGATTCTTCCTTGTATACTACCTAGGTCAAGAAAGAGCAACAATAATGATGACAGATTCGCCATGCTTCGGCTGATGGATTCATATTCTTCACCAAGGGGCTTCAAGCTGCCGTCCTGAGCGCACAACTAGCTAAGCAACAAGGGATGTCTCAGGACAACATTTGTCCAAGCCCCGTGTCTTCTGGTAGGCCCTCTCAGCTTTACATGCAGCGGTTAGAAAACGTCTTTGATGCCATTGGCGGCTTCAGTAAGGCAGCTCCTTGCTATATATCAAGACCGATACAGCAGCTTTCTGTGTCCTGCATCGCAACAGACAGTCTGCCCAGCATCCCGTGAAGTATAGCATATCCAGAAGCTGTGACTGAGGGCGGCTTGCGCTTCTTAGGCTACTAGGTACCTTACCATTCGAGATCCAAGAGCTTGTGCGTATATGCCGCTGAATATACGGGGGACGTCCGACGATGAATGGCAACACCCAACGCTCCAGTTGGTCGGGCTGCTGAAGACCCTTGACTGACCGCATGAGGCAATGGTGTTGTCAACTTTGTGCTCTGCCTTTATGAGAGTCATTCAATGACCTTTGCGGCTGGTTAATTTGCGTGAGGAGAGGGAAGTTCATTGCCGAACAGAGAGCTTTTACAGTGGTTTAAGGCTAAAGTGGCCAGCTTACGACGAATCTTTCCCGAATGGCGAGGACGTTCTACGATCGTGTTGGGGGGCCAGCGAGCCTAATTTCATCTCTAGATCAACGATGAATCCTTGTGTCAGTTTGAGCCTCACCCCTGCACCCTAGAGCCCTGCCTACTGCCCTCTCGGAATAACCTCACATGAGAACGCTATACGTGACTCCCTCGCTGCGCTCCTTCTGCCTATGCTCCGGATCAGAGAAATTCCATAGAGCTCGCAAACAGCAGTCTCGCAAGCCCCGTCCGGGTTGAAATGCAACCCCGCACTACCATCAACTCAGCTGTCCTTTGAGCGACCAACTTTCTTCGAACTGGATTAATCGGATGAGGCTTAGTTCCTCAAGAGATGTGCCTTGTGGAGAAATCCCGTCGCCAAGGCCGTTTTGCGGTCTAACTCCGGGTTTCCTGCAGGTCTAATTTCCAATGGGCGTTCGAGAAGAGAGCATGAGAGCTTCCCAACTCAGTCGCCCAGGTTACATGACAGCATCGTTGCATGTCCGCTGCATTCAACCAATTGAGAAGTGGCAGTTGGATGTAAGCGCCTGGAAGTGGAGCGTTGCTGACCACCTACCTACCTTACCTATTCAAAAAGGCCAACCTGCCCCGCCGTCGACGAACGACCCTTCGTACCTGATTTCTTGTGCAATGCCAAATTACAACTGCCGCTCTTTCATCACCCTTCGAAAACATGGACGAGATCCTTCAGATGTCTCCCGAGCCACCTCAGCAGAGTCTGGCATTGCGTCCAGCACCATCAAACACATACTCGTTGGCCAAGTCGGAATACCAGTACAAGCCGCTGGCTCCAGACGAAATTCGAATGCTCATCCTGTTACCGGGAGAGTTTGAAAGTTCTCTTCAGGGGTATACTGCTCATGAGTCTTTCGATCCTTCGGACTGCGAGTTCAGTTATGAAGCTCTCTCCTATGTTTGGGGGAGCCAGGCCTATCCGAAGCCATTCCATGTTCTCGAGTGTTGCAGTCAGGGCAGCTCAGCCGAAGTCAAGACTCTGGAAATCGGCCCAAATCTGGAATCGGCCCTCCGACATCTGCGAAAGCCATTCGAAGCTCGTACCATTTGGTGTGACGCCATATGCATCAACCAGAACGATGCCGAAGAGCGTGGAGTCCAGGTTCGGGGGATGGGGGATATCTACAGCCACGCCAAAAGAGTTGTTGTTTGGCTTGGGCAAGAAACGGACAATTTATACAGAGGGGTGCAGTTAATGAAGTTCTTGGGGTCCATTTTTTACTTCGACTTGGACACACACAGGTGTCGGCAGTATTCTGATAACCGACTCCCAGACGGACGGGCTCCGATGCTCTTTAGAAATGCGGACTGGGAATCTCTCTACGACGTTTGTGCCCTGCCTTGGTTCAAGAGGCTTTGGGTGAAACAGGAGATCATTCTCGCAAAAGAAATTGCTATCTTGATGATAGGGAAGCGAGAGTTCACCTGGAACGACTTCAGTGGCGCCACTGGCTACGTAATCTATGTCGGATTGCCGATTTCAGATGCCTTGAGTGAGCGAAAACGACAAGATTTTGGCGAATTATTGAAAAACGCTTGGTCTACATTCACTCACGGTGAAAACCGGCACATCAATATTACCCTCGATCTTGTTAATGAGTGCGAATGTCTAGATCCACGAGACAAGATATACGGTATCTTGGGTCTTCATAGGAAAGGCTTGCAGATTGAGCCAAACTACAACAGAAGCCATCGGGACGTTTATACAGACTTTTCCCGAAAATACATGCAATCAACCAAGGGTATGGGAACCTTCGCCTTATGCGATACGGCGGATGATGCCACTTGGATGCATCCTACTTGGGTGCCAGACTTTACGAAAAGAATCCCTCAAATTTCTTACTGGCGTACTGGGAACGTTGCCGTAAATTCGAAGCCCGAGCATCACATCTTATCGAATGATTCCTGCAGAACCCTCGGTATCCATTGCGGCACCATCAGTCAATGTTCGTCGTTAGTAATGCCATACAAGGTTGTGCCAAGCACTTGCCTCGCAATTATCAAGTCTTGGATTCTGGATGCATCTTTCAATAAGGCCCAGCCTTTAAGCCAATCTTGGATTGATGAACTCGTGTGTACGATTTCGTTAGGTAACACCGAAGACAACAACACCGAGATCAGCTGGACTTTGTCGGAAGTGGCAGATATCCTACTCCGCGATATAGAGTGGTTTTCTCCCCAAGGACCTCGGAATGAAGAGGACGAATGGATTTTGATGACCAATCTTATAAGTTATGCCATCTGTGGTAACTTACTCGCGACAACTGCGGATGGTAAGTTCGTACTATCAATAGGAACTACCCAAGTAGAGGACGAAATCTATGTTTTGCCGGGTGAGGTTGTTCCGATTATTTTAAGGGCCGTTGAAGGCGGACGATATAGAGTCGTAGGACCATGTTTCATGCCGAGTCTGATGCGTCGCGAAGCTTTGCTGGGACAACTCCCGGAAGGATGGAAGGTGCGGTTTAGGAGGAGTCAGAGCAGGGAAATGGTGATTACCGACCCTGACGGTCAGACGCATGATGAAGACCCTCGTCTTGGAAAGTTGCCCCCGGGCTGGGAGCAATCAGAGCCTGATACCCATGGATATTTTTACTACAGAGAAGGACCTGATGGTCCATGGTCAATGTATGATCCTCGTCTAACTCCAGAAAGGTTGGCAGCTCGAGGGATCAAGTTCGAGGAGTTGATCATTGTGTGAAAATCATCCTGTACTACATATGTGGGTTCGCTCTCCATACAAATATTGTGGCCACTTGGGCGTCTTGTCAAGATTTTCTCTTCCAAAACTGTAAGAAATGTTAAGCCCCACACTTGTTGGCCGCTATTTGTCCTTGACTGCAGCAATCAGCACTTCTAAGGATTGGGGGCGTCTCAAGACACGATACTATATGCAAACATCACAGCCGAAGCGAACAAGTTGATAATCGGCCAACCTTATTCAACAATCTGTCTCTACCTAGCAAACATAACTTTGAACCGTCGGCAACATGATGAAATAGCCGATCGCCAAGAATAACCCAATCAGCAGAATAGCAACCTCCTCTGATCCAAAGTGGAAACCATACCGCACCGTATCCAATTTCTTGTTTCCCGGCGACGCCGACTGTGGCTGCAACATGCCGTTGAACCCCCTGGCCCACGGAACCTCCAACCTGCGGTCATCCAGAATCTGCTCCGCGGTGATCTTGGCTCCTGCCAACACGATCGGCACACCGGTTCCAGGATGTGTGCTAGCACCAACAAAGTAGGCATTATCCAGCCCCTCTGCACGAGTCTTCGGGCGGAAGGCCAGGACGTTGAAGAAGCCGTGGTTCAGGCCGAGAATCGCGCCCTTGTCGAGGTTGAACTTATCCTCCCACGTCAGGGGCGTGTTGACGATCTCGTGAGTGATCATGTCGCCGAGGTTCGGGCAGCCTGTGCGCTCGCTGACGATTGAGAGAATCATGGAACGCGCTTTGGAAACGATGGCATCCCAGTCCTTCTCATCCGTCGTCAGCCCGTCCTCGTTCTTTGAGCTTGAGAGGTGGCCGATGGGCACGAGGACGATGACGGTGTCCTTGCCCTCGGGCGCTGCGGAGGGGTCCACGCGGCTCGGGACGTTGACGTAGAAGCTGGGCTCATCGGGCAGTGAGTGACGCTTGAAGATTGCGTCGAAGGACTCTTGGTACTGCTCCGCCAGGAAGATGTTGTGCGTGGATAGCTCGGGGACCTTGCGGTCGAGGCACCAGTAGAAGGAGATTGAGCTGCAGCTGGGCTCCCTCTTCTGCAATGACTCGTAGTAGTTGGTGATTGTTGGTGTTTGAGGGAGGAGGTTGCCATAAGCGTAGACGAGGTCGGCGTTCACAACCACGACATCTGCAGTGAGTGACTCCCCTGATTCGAGAATGACGCCGGTCGCCTTTTGGCCGTCTGTGAGAACCTTTGATACTGGCGTGTTGAGGCGATATTTCACGCCCAGACTCTCACCAATACGAACCAGCGCCGCGACCACCGAGTGGAAGCCACCACGAGGATACCAAATTCCCTCCGCGAACTCGGTGTACTGCAAGAGGGAGTACGTCGCCGGCGCGTCAAACGGGGACATTCCCATGTACATGACAGCAAAGGTAAACACCCTCCTCAACCTCTCGGTCCAGAAATACCTGCTCGCCCTGCTCCAGATGCTCTCCAGCGGGTGCAGCGACACCACATGCCTCACGAACCGCGGCCTCGCCAGATTGATCAGCTTGCTAAAGTTCTTGTGCAGCACCTCGCGCACCGAGACCTCGTAGTGGGTGTGCGCCTCCCGCAACCACTGCAGGTAGCGCTCGAAGCCGTCCTTGCCCTCCCAGCGCTCAATCTGGGACTTCATGGCTGCGAGGTCGGAGGAGTGGCGGAAGAGCTCGCCGTCGTGGAACCAGATGTTGTAGTTTGTCTCGCAGCGCAGCAGGTCGACGCCGGCGTCCGCCATGGTGGTGTCGAGGTCGCGGAAGGTCTCGTGGAAGAGCTGGGGGAGCAGGAAGAGCGAGGGCCCCTGGTCGAAGCGGTGGCCCTCGTGGTGCATGAGGGAGCAGCGGCCGCCGGTGAAGGAGTTCTTTTCGAGGACGGTGACGGCGAAGCCTGCTTTGGCGAGGCGGGCGGCGAGGGCCACGCCGCCGGCGCCAGCGCCGACGACGATGGCCGTCTTGGGCTTCTCGCTGAGGGATGGCATTTTCAGTGATTGATTAGATATCTTGGAGGTGAGTAGGGAAGTCAAGCAAGGCTCCTGATTGAGATTATGCAGACGTAGATGAGATAGGAAGTCAACACACGCTCACATGCTCACGATGAGAGCTTGCATTGGAAGAAGGGGCTAGCATGGTAGATGGGCCTCGAGTGACATTCATAGTAGATAATTGTCCCGTCATTGACATCGAAACATGTGAGAAGACAACCTAGTCAATCCCTTCGCATGCCTTGGGGGTCCACAAAAGCTACGGGACGGGCAGGGGTGAGATCGCACGAGGACGGGGTCCGCATCGGCCGGTGCGGAAGAGTGATGACACCTCGACTCGGAGGAGGTTGACGACGTTGCACTTGGCAGATGGAGCATCCAGGTACACGACCCAACAGCCACTCAACTACTATGGAGTAAACTCTTTGCAGACCCGATTTCAGGCACATATCCGCAGAACCGGCAAGCTTCCGGCACCAAGAACACCAAGGTTGAGGCCTGGCGGCGCCAACGGCAGGGAGTGGCGTTGGCGTGTGGGAGCTATGGCCCCCTGGGAAGCTGAGGTTGGGTAAGGTGTGTGCTAGGTGAGGTGTGTGTGACATTGGGCAATGTCCAGGTGGAGGTGGTGCATCGCGATATCGATATATCGTATTCGTTGATCGGTGCGTCCATTCGGCCCATCAATGCCGTTGGAGACTTGAGGGAAAGTATCCCGCTCTAGGACACTTGAGACGGCCAATGCTCCCCTCTCGCCGTCACGTTTACAACAATTGAACACCCGAGACTGGGCTGGTAATTGGAGCGTAATGATTCACCCTCAGCTCACCTTTTTGGGGGGTCTCATACAAAAACAAAACAGCGCCCACCCGCAATTCGGTGTACGTTCCTCGCAATCGCGACCTGTCTCACTCGCTCTCCTGCCACGTTTGACACTGCCGTTGGCCTAGTCCTGCCTTCAAAAATAATTAGTCCTCATTCTCTCGCTGGGGCTTTTTCATCTCTAGCTCAATCAATGCTTCCTCCCGCCGGGCACTAACAAAAATCTTTGGGACCCGATCACACACAGAGATTCTGGACGAGGGTTGGACGGAAAGGATAGCCCAAGAATCCCATCTTTTTATCCGACGCGCATATGGTCGTCATAGACTTTGTTTCTTTTCGACGCACACCCGCAGCTCGCTCACTCCAGCCAATCCAGCCACCTGCACCTTACCTCACCTTAGCCTCCTGCAGCTGCAGCAAGCTCACCTCAACAATTCGAACGTCCCAAGCCTTGCCATCCCTACCTTGGCGTCCCCTTTTTTGATTGATCCTTCCAAGGTTCCCGCCCAATCCTGCGCGCGCCCTTTATCCGAATCCGGAAAGAAGCTCTATCGACCCGGGCTAACCAGCTCGCCTACCCGTCCAACCGTCCTCCCAAAGTCCGCGCCCTCTCCTCCCTTCGGTCTCGAAAATCAAGACGAGTCCGAGGGCCGAGAAACATTCAGCGGAGAAACGCTCCGGAGAGATCACGACACGTCTTCTTCTAGATGGTTTTTATCTGCGGCTCGGGATAATTCACCAGCTCCGACCGCTGGACCAGCCGATCCTTCCTTTGCCCGGTGTAAGGCAAGCACAACGGTGAGATCCACGGTTTTACCAACAAGACAAACAAGTGAAACCGGCAGCCCGCGTGGGTCATTTTACACCAGGCCATATCCCACTCACACATGCGTGTGTTTTTCGTCATTGCCTTGACTCCTGCCGCCATCTGATTTCTCAACTCAGCCACCTGTCCTACACTGGAGTGCCTTGCATTTCTTCCCGGACCGTCCACGGAAGGTACGGCTGCTGCGGGAGCCGTCGAAGAAACACATTCATTAATCGCCCACTGATCACCTCACGGCCGTCGTGCTTGCACTCGATGAGGGCCTTCTCACTTCTGAAATAAAGAATTCTCACAACAGTCCGAGATGGGTTACGATTACGCGCTGGTGTAAGTCTTTCGAAGCAGGTCTTGCGAGGCGCTCTCACTTACCTTTTCAGGCACATCAAGTACACCATCCCTCTAGCAGGGCTTCTCACCTTCTTTTCATATCCGCTCTTCACCCGCCTCGATGTCGTGAAGACGCTGTTCATCGTCACCATCGCCTTCGTGGCCACCATCCCTTGGGACTCATATCTCATCAGAACCGGCATCTGGACCTACCCGCCTAACGCCATTCTAGGCCCTACCCTCTTCAGCATCCCCCTCGAGGAGCTCTTCTTTTTCATCATCCAGACCTACATCACGGCCCAGCTCTACATTATTCTCAACAAGCCCGTCCTGCACGCTCAGTACCTCAACTCGCCAGCCACCCTCCCCAAATGGATCAAGAGTGGAAAGACCGTCGGCCAGGGCGTTCTTGCCGGCAGCATCGCGCTTGGTGCATGGCTCATCGCCAAGGAGGGTGAAGGAACGTATCTTGGCTTGATCCTCGTGTGGGCGTGCTCCTTCGCCCTCTTCATCTGGACCATCACCGCCCAGTTCCTACTCGCGCTGCCGCTGGCATGCACTGTCCTCCCCGTGATCCTCCCCACGGTCTACCTCTGGGTGGTCGACGAGATGGCGCTGGGACGTGGCACCTGGGCCATTGAGAGCGGCACCAAGCTCGAGTTCAAGCTCTTTGGCAGTTTGGAGATTGAAGAAGCTGTCTTCTTTCTGGTGACCAACATTCTCGTTGTCACTGGCATTGGCGCTTTTGACAAGGCCGTTGCCGTCTGCGATGCCTTTCCCGACATCTTTGACAAGCCCGCCGATGCTTTGTCCATGTCTTTGCTGCGAGCCAGAGTGCTTCCTTCGTCAAAGTACAACATGCAGCGCATCCTGGGTATCCGCCAAGCAGTGAGCAGGTTGGCAAAGAAGAGCCGCAGCTTTCACCTCGCCAGCTCTGTCTTTCCTGGCCGTCTCCGCATTGACCTGACTCTGCTGTAAGTTGGCTCCCCTGATCACAGAATCACTACTGACGAGATCATAGCTACTCATACTGCCGCCTCGCTGATGACCTTGTCGATGAAGCAGCAACCCCCCAAGAAGCAGCCGTCTGGATTTCCAAGCTTGACCGCCACCTAGCTCTGCTCTACAAAGATCCAGACTCTTCGTCGGCCCCTCTTGCCTCCCAGTATGCGGCAGAGAATTTTCCCGCGTCAGCCCTCTCCGCCCTGGACCTCCTGCCCGCCAACCTCATTCCCCGTGAGCCCTTGGCAGAGCTCCTCAAGGGCTTCGAGATGGATCTCCAGTTCAGCACGAACAGCTTCCCTATCGCCACCCCGGAAGACCTCGAGCTCTACGCCGCCCGCGTTGCCAGCACCGTCGGCCAGTCCTGTCTGGAACTCGTCTTCTGCCACTGCAAACACTCCCTGCCGCCGTACATGCAAGCCTACCTGCGTAACACGGCGCGCCAGATGGGTCTTGCGCTGCAGTTCGTGAACATCGCCCGCGACATCGCCGTCGACGCCAAGATCGGCCGTGTCTACCTCCCCACCTCCTGGCTCAAGGACGAGGGCCTCTCGCCGGAGGACGTCCTCAGGGACCCGCGCAGCGAGGGCGTCGCCAACGTGCGCCGCAAGATCCTCGCAAAGGCGTTCGAGCACTACGGCGAGGCCAGGGAGTCGATGAAGTGGATTCCCTCGGAGGCGCGCGGCCCCATGGTTGTCGCCGTAGAGAGCTACATGGAGATTGGCCGCGTGCTGGTCCGCAACGGCAATGCTGCGGCGGCGGACGGAACGGGACGGGCCACTGTGCCCAAGTCGCGACGGGTTTGGGTTGCTTGGAGCACGCTGATGGCGGCTTGAGTTTGGGGCCCTGTTTCTTCTTCACATTAGCAAGTTTGTGTTCGTAGCATTAGACGCATCGACGAGCATGCAAATTTCATAGCCAAAACATAAAAGTTGTCAACACAACGTGACTCAATCCGCAAAGTGACATGTCAATGGTGATTGGAGGATTAAACTACACAGAATAGGGAACAAAACAAAAGCGAAGGATTGCTTCGTCTGATCGCACGTCAAAGGTGACATCACAGCCCCCGGCTCCAGAAAAGCGTCCGTGCGCCGCGTCAATGCTTCACCGAGCTACACCGGATTAGAAGCTCCACCAAACCTCAAATTAAACCTCCAACAATCCACCATCGCCAGTTCGCACCCGTTTGCGCCGCCCTCATCGCATCGCGCAGCTCCCAACGCTGCCCCGTCGCAGCGCACACCTCCTCCTTCCACGAACCACACACAAACCGCCAAAATGATATCAAGGACACCGGCCCGCCGCCTCCTGCGCGACCTCACCAGGTCCCCGCGCACCCTCCGACCCTTCACGACAACCAGACCCTCCCTCCTCAAGCCGATCCCACCACAACCTCCCCAGCAGCCCCCTCAAAACGCAGCCGCCTCCGCCGCCCTCCAGAACCTCTCTCACCTCTCTCCCTCGCAAATCACCGCCCTCCTCTCCGCCAACACCACACCGACACCACCCACCCCGCCCCCGCAGTCCCGCCGCTCGATCCTCCTCCGCCGCGCCCTCTGGGCCCTCTTCTTCTTCCTCGCCGGCTACAAGCTCACCGCCGACCAAATCGCCTCCATCCGCTTCGCCACGCCCTTCCTCTACCCGCCCGCCGACTACGAGCCCGAAGACATCCCGATCTACCGCCAACAAGCCACCTACGAAGCCCTCGCCTCCGACCCGGGGCTGGACGCCATGGTCCCCGCCGCCGTCTCCGTCTCCGGCTCGCAGATCACCGTCCGGCCCACCGACTGGGACCACTGGGAGCCCTACGCCGATTTCTCGGACGCGCACCGCAAGACGCACCTCTGTGCCGGCGCGCTCAACAACCCAAACGCATTGGGGTTAGTGCACATGGTCTTCCGCCACCGGCTGACGGGCGAGCTCATCCTCGCCGTGGTCTTCGGGCAGGGCACGTCCGGCTGGCCGAGCGTCGTGCACGGCGGGATGCTGAGCACCATCATGGACGAGGCCATGGGCCGCCTCGCGGCGCTGAACTTCAGCGCCAACACGGCCGTGACGGCGAAGCTGGCCATGGACTTCAAGGAGCCCGTGACGCCTGGGTTCCTGTACAAGGTGCGCGTGCACGCCGTGCTGCCGGAGCTGCAGAAGGGGCCGGACGGCGAGGACAAGACGGATCGCAAGATGTGGATCTGCGGGCGCATGGAGGGGCCCGATGGGGAGATTGCGCTCGAGGCCAAGGGGTTGTTTGTCGTGCCGAAGGGAGTGGACGTCAAGCCTTTGGGGAAGAGGTTCTGAGCTAGTCGAGAGAGAGTGGTGGTTTCTTGGCGTTCTTTAGAGGGGGCAATGTGTTTGGACAAAGATTCCCCATGGCAAGGATGCTGTATGAGTAGATTTGTATAGAAGGTGGTGGGAGAGAGGAAAGTTGCCCTCATTTTGGGTTGAGAGATTGCTGCGTATGATGAGCAACATCAACCTAGATCTCGAGAGCCAAATCAGTCAAAATATCATGACGTTGCCTCATTATACTGTGCCTCTTTGAGCCTGTTTCTGTCGTTTACGTGAGCCCCCTGAGATTCTCGTCTACGTTCTTGTATTAATGACAACTCAAGCTCGTCTGGTGTAAGCAGAGACGTGACACCAGCTTGCCAGGTCGGAAAAGACTCGTGCAACGAGCAAAAGTTGCGGAAGACTTATGGGTGTTCAGGTAGCTAAAGAAAAGCAGTGTACCTGTCATTTGTTCGTTGGAGCGAATAGACATGGCATGATAAAAATTGAGGCTGTACAAAAAAGAAATTAACTCAAGTTCATGTATCCGCTGTTGTCGCGGCAGGTGCTATGGTACAGTTTCCAACGTATAAACACGCTTGACATCCCGGTCTAATAACCCATCCGTTTTAGTAACCCATGCCGATATCCTGGCAACTATTGAATGCAAGCCCTATCGAAATACTCCGGATCCACGTCGTACAAGAGGATCCCCATGCTACAATACGTTTCCTCATCCGTGTCCCGGACGAAGTCTTCATATCCCGGCTGGGACATTCGTTCGATTTCCAAAAGCCAGCAGTGGATACGATAGCACAGTTCATCCGACAGGATTCCTTTTGCTCTGGCTGTTTCTTGTGGGGTGGCGTAAAACTGAAAGCGTGTCTGCCGTCCTTTGCCACAACCACTCTCCTAGATGCTTGCTGCGGGATTGAGAACAGATTGTCCAATCCGGTTGTCCTTGCACTGAGGTGGAACGGAAGAATTCTCCTAAATAGGTGCTGTAGGATTGAGGGCAAACTGAGGTCTGGTTGGGCCCTGCTGCATGTAGTATGGGCTGTTGAAGCCTCCGCGGGAACCGTAGCTCCCGCGGCCACCTCGGTAGCCATTGGCACCACCGCGTCCTCGACTGCTCCCGTTGCCACGGTAGTTGCCGCGATAGTTAACATTCGGCCTGTATCCCTGAGGACCATCTGGGGGCGATCGTGACGCTGCCTGCCCACCGCCGTTTTGGCCTGCTGAACCCGGAGATGGTGCGTATCCGCCATTGGCACTACCTCCGTTGGGTGGACCGCGAGGTCCTCCTCCACCATGACCGCCGTTTTGGTTCCCACGCCCCCTTCTGCGGTTGGCGTACTGGCGACGGCCATTCTTTGGCTTGCCCTCAACTGAAAAGTCGATCTTCTTTACCGGATCTGTAACCATCTGATTGTCGCTCAACCCCAGACGCTCGAGGTCCTCATGAGACGTTGTGGATATCTGGAAGACATTCTCCAGCTTTTCAAGACCTCGAGTCTCCACGACCCAAGCCTTCACATATTCACCCTCCTTGTCATAGTCAAACGCTTGCTTAATGGGGTTGAAAATGCGATTGTCGCCTCGAGGGTCGTTACCCACTCCGGCAACGTATTGCCAGTTTGACCAGTTGGAGCTCACATCATAGTCGACGAGAAGATATTCGTACCACTCGGCACCATAACGCCAATCGATGCCCAGATGCTTGGTAAGGAAAGATGCCACATTTTGTCGAGCTCTGTTAGATGTGTAGCCAGTGTGGATTAATTCGCGCTGTGAGGCGTCGATCAGACCCATGCCGGTGGTACCCTCGAGAAACCTCTGCAATGTCTTCTTAATGTCGTCAACGGATGCGCCTAGGTTATCCTCAGTGATGACATGCTCAGCGTTGGCCGTCTTCCACTTGGGCGTATCGTCTTCCTTGAAGCCAGTGACGCGAAACAGCTTCTCCTGAAACTTCCTCGTGCACAACCGCATGTAGTCGCGCCACAGAAGCTCGAATCGGACCGCCTTAGTTCCGTCGTTCTCCCCCTTTCCGTACCCTAGTGTGTCCTTAAAATCCTCATTGGTGCCATCCTCGAACTGAACCAGGGCCTCGTGGATCTGCCGGGAGGTGAGACAACCGAGGGACAAGAAAGCTGACAGTTTGGTGCTGAAGTCGACGCCAAGTAGGCCGTTGCGCGTGTTCTTGTACTCGGTCATCGCCCCTGATTTAACGAGATGATGGAGGCGGCTGCGTGCCTCGCTCTCACCGCCATGGAACGGATGAACGGACTTTGCTTTCTCGGGAATCTTGGGATCGTCGGTAAAGGGGCTGGTCAGGGGTTTCAACAGTGTTGATTCCAACTTGCTGTAGTCATCGGACGGCACCTCGTAAGGGGAGCTCTGGAGAGGGAGAAAATTTTTGGGGTAGGGTTTGATGGCGCTCTTTTTGGGTTGCGGCAAGGTGGGCTTGGGCTTCTCTCGGAGAGGTTCTTGGGTCTTGCGGAAGGCGGTGAACACGTTGTCGAGATCTTCTGGGTTCTTCAAGCCTAGGTCACGGCTGAAGAGCGTTTGTTAGTATCGCCGCCACGCGTTGAATGTCCAAGCCGTCAACTTACTCGTCAATGAAATATTTCTCATCCAACCATGTTTTGAAGTTGACGCCGTGCTTGGAACAAGCCGCTGCTACGGCCTTCTCGTCTTTCTTCTCTTCGACAGCCTCCTCAGCCGTCATCCACACCGCACCGACTTTGTGCTTGCTGTCGGCAAAGCCTCGGAGAAGCTCATCGACGACGTCACCAAACATGCCTGCTCTCAAACACAGATCGCTACCAACCCCCTCGAGGGACTCCTTGAGGTTCCATACGGATTGGGCGATGAACTTCGTACGGTGAGGGCCGCATCTCCAAAATTTGCCAATCTCGCTGCGTGCCTCTGGGTACTTTGACTTGCTCCCGTCGCGGAGGAACCCTGAGATTTCGATCTGGTGTGCTGGGAAGATGTACACAGGAAGAACATGGGTGAAGCCATGATCAGAAGACGTTGCGAGATGGTGGAGGATGGGATTGTCCGCAATACGAAGGTCGTGCCGGAGCAGATAGATGAGAATGTTTGTAGCCGTCATGGTGGGCTACTGTTAAATAAATGTTGATACGTGAGGTCTTGCTAACGAGATGTTGCTGTCGACAATGCTCGGGGAAAGATTGTGATGGACTTTTGCGGATGTATGATCGGTTGATAGGGTTGTTGAAGGTGTTGATGGAGTGTTGATGAACAGCTATGGGGGAAGCAAAGGAACCCTCTGCCAGTAGAAAGCGACAGATGTGGGTTTTGTTGGAGTGATGATGGCCACAAAGTCTAGACCAAAGTCATGGCGTAAGAGAAGCCGTTAGATCTGTTTTAGTTCCCGACCAGCTGGAAAGCAGACTAGTCTTTGAGTCGCCACAGGAGGAACAGAGGAATAGATGCGGTAGGCAAGGTGTGTAAGGTAGGTAGGTAGGTAGGTAGGAGTAAAGAGAACTGCAGGCACGGATGGAAAACCGGGGGGAGGTAGGCGAGGGACGGGAGGGTAAGGATGTGCCTTCGACGATGGGCAGGGTTCCTTAGGGCAAGAGGAGACCAGGACCCGGCGTCTTTCGGGAGCAGGAGCAGGAGGGGAGGTTAGGTTCGCCCCGATTGGAATGACGCAGCTGCCGCTAAATCTCAATCCAGGGGTCTTGCCGCGATTGTTAGACGGTCGGACGATGAGGCTGCAAGCGCCGACGGCATCGATTTTTAGGTTAGATGATCGGGAAGAGATGGGAAAGCGTGGTGGACAGGAAGATCGGTTCTCTTTGTATCGTCTGTACTGCGTATCGAGTGGTAATGTACTTGCTTGCTTTTGGGTCCCTCTCTCCGCAGGACAGGACAAAACAGGACAGAATGAGTTTTAGGAAAAGCCGAGAGAGGAGCACAGGATGTGGGAGTATCCCGAATGGAGAAGCGCGGAATCGTTTACGCAGCCTGATCTCAAATGGACACCTCCCGAGGACTCTGACTGGGACTCATGGGACTTTCTTGCAGGGTCAAGCTTTCCTCGGCCAACAGAGCTCAACCCAGAAAGTTTGCGGCGTCGAGATGTGGAGTGGACCTGCGGCGTACGGCGTCGAGTATGGCAAGGCAATGTACTTGAGATGTGTCGTGTGCCTTTGCGAGTGATACTATAACCGGATAACCTTGACTTAGTCTAGGTAGGTTGTGCTGCTTGGTGAAAGGATAAGTCAAGACGGTTATGTCGAGGTGACGGGACGACAATTGCAGGTGGAGGCAGTGAGCAGAGAAAGGAGCCGTAGGAGAAGAGCCAATCTGTGGCGGCGGAGTGCTCGCCGATGCGCCTTTTGGTTTTAATCATGGCCATCCCCCGTCTGGGCCATGGGTGTGAGTGTGGTGGATTGGACCCTTAGATTTTCTTAAACCCTTTGGGCCTAGACCCCTGGCAACTCCGGCGCCCCTACAGACTCGAACCCCCTCGATTTGGAATGCCATGTCAGGCGATTCGGCAGGAAATTTGGCACGTTTGGCAAGTCGGCCGTTGCTCAATAATGCAAGGAGGGAGAGATGACGGGTGATGATGGGACATGAAGGACCAGACCAGGCCATGCGCCAGTCGGGGGAAAGCATGGAGGTCGGCATGGCATGGGGTTGAAGGACGACGGCGCAGGACGCACCAAGGGACGGGGAAAACAGTGCATTGGGAGTCGCACAATGTGATTGATCGAAAAGCCACAGCAGGAAAGCATGGATGCGTTGTTGCAGGCTGCCGCTTGGCTGGGCGAGGGGATGCAATGTCGATGGCTTGTCGATTGCGGCGGGATGGGAAAGACGACCTGGAGATCGAGCACAAGGGACGTGTGGACGTCCATGATGCAGAGATAAAGTCCGGGGTTGTCAAGATCGAGTCCACCTGAACGGATACCTGGGCCTGGAAAAGCGGGCCCCTGCCCTGCCACGGGGCCCAGTCCGACCACTGTGACGCCGCCAAACTCTTGCTCTTC